ATGCTTTTTTAAAGACTTTGGAGCACCTTAAATTATATTATTGGCAGAAAACCCAATTCATCTCCATCGTTCATTGAAGTTGATGGGTAATTTATAACATAATCTTTTGATATATGCAATAATTTCAATTACTATTTCACTGGTAAAGTGGACAAACTCAGAAGTGAAATGAAAACATTGAACATTGAACCATCATTTGTGTATTGAAGATCTAATAAAGAAAGAGAAGGATTTCCGTTTTGCATTTGGTCAAGTTTGTGTGGAAGAGGTGGAAAAACGATTGTTATCCATCAGTAATGATAAGCCACCAGGTATAGACAACCTAGATCGGACACTATTGAGAATGGTTGCAGACTGTATTGCCACCCCTATTTGCCATGTCTTTAACCAAAGCCTAAAAGGAGTGTGTGTGTGTCCACAGGCGTGGAAGGGACCGAAAGTAATTCCACTACCTAAAAATAGTAAAGCACCCTTTGCTGGCTCGAATAGCCGCCCAATCAGTTTTCTGCCTGTTCTTAGTAAACTGATGGAGAGAATTATGTTTGAACAAATACAATGCCCTTTTTTTAAAGAACAAGTTAACTACTGTCTCTCAGCATACATTATAGGGAAGGGCACTCAACTTCTACTGCACTGACTCAGATGACTGATGATTAGCTAAAATAAATGGATAATAAGATGATAGTTGGAGCTGTATTGTTAGATTTCAGTGTAGCCTTTGATGTTATTGATCATAATTTGTTATTGAAAAAACTCACTTGTCATGGCTTTACGTCACCTGCCATCACATGGTTGGATAGTTACTTATCCAATAGAACTTAGAGTATTCTTCAATGGAAGCTTCTCGAACATCAGATATGTACAGTGAGGTGTCCCTCAGGGCAGTTGCCTTGGGCCGTTACTCTTCTCTATTTTTACAAATGATTTGCCACTTGTCTTACAAGAAGCTAAAATCTCTATGTATGCTGATGATTGCACACTCTACACATCAGCACCTACAGCCAGTGAGCTCAGTGAGACTCTTAGCAAGGAGTTACAGTCAGTGTCAGAATGGGTAATTAACAATAAAACTGGTCTTAAATCAGGTAAAACCAAAAGCATTGTATTTGGTTAAAAACATTCTCTTAGACCTAAACCTCAACTGGAGTTGTGCATAAAGGGTGTGGCCATTGAACAAGTTGAAGAAGCTGAACTCCTAGGAGTAACATAGGATGGTCAGTTATCATGGTCAAGTCATATTGACAAAGATGTTGTGAAGATGGGGAGAGGTATGAATGTTATAAAAATATGTTATTTGTGTTTGACACAAAGATCAACTGTACTAGTTGTTCAAGCTTTGATCTAGTCCCATCTTGATTACTGTCTGGTAATATGGTCAGGTGCAGCAAAGAAAGACCTAGCAAAGCTGCAGCTAGCTCAAAACAAAGCAGCACGCCTTGCCCTTAACTGCACACACAGAACTAACATCAACAACATGCATGATAGTCTTTCATGGTTGTGGGTTGACGAGAAATTGACCACTTCTCTTCTAGTCTTTTTAAGAAACATTTGTGTATTGAAAATGCCTAACCACTTGTCTAATATATTTGCATACACTTCAAACAGACATACATACCCCACCAGACATGCCACTATCGGTTTCTTCACTCATCATTATTCACGATTCATTCAGGACTATCTGTAATCATGGTAGCATCCACATTAATGTAGAAGTGTTAAGAAACATATTATATTCTTATTTACAATAACAGTGACTCCAAAATGACTCAATGCATTATTTACCATTCATTTCTATTGGGCAAAACATAATCTGAAACACAACCGAAACTAACAGCAAATGCATCTGTTGAGCTTTACTGTGTCTGGGTCTGAACTGAATGGTAACAGTGACCCCTACTGCTGAATCTGGATTTTTTTTTCTCCCTAAACAAAAGACTGATGTTTCCTACTTGACCTTTAACAGGATCATGTGTCATGTAAAACTTTCAATAAAGCATTGAATACTCAATATTTTCAAAATGTTGCATTTTGTATTCAATCTGTTGTTAACGGCAACATTTGGTATATTTTCTGTTCTCCAAAAAACACATTGACATATTATTCAGAACCAAAGACATGAGACAATCATTGACAAGATGCAGTGACATGTGAAGAGACTTTGTGAGATGCAGTGGTTGACTGGAGAGTGGACAGTGGACACACACATCGCTTAACCCTAACTCACCCCACAGACAGTCATCATCAGGGCAATCACGTGTGAACAACAACACTCAGGCTGTGTAAGTATGTTCCAACAGTCTTGACAACATTATTTTCCTAATCTCCTTCCCTTCATGACAACTGTAAAGACACTTGGAAGGTAGAAATATATACAAGAAAATCCTATCCAGTGCTTAAACAATTTGATTAACATGAGAGATAGGAGGAGAGGAAATGAGGGGGCATTAGTACACAGACATTGTGTGAAACAAGATTCAACTGAGTTAGCTACAACATCATGTTGAAAGGGATAGATTGAAACCAGTTAGAACCAGAGCCGTATAGAGGTCAGGCTAAAGCTTGCTATGCCCTCTCTGTGAATCACTGAGGTAAAGGACACTCACAATAGGTGAACTAGCAATGAACAACATTTTAGCACCAATTTCAAATGGTTTTGTCAAACTGAATAAGAAGCTAGAGACATTCAGCTAGGTGTAAGTACTGTACAGTAAATCCTCTCACTATGAGTGATGAATGAAACATTTAGGAAGCTTGATAGACCATTGACAATGCTGCCTGCGACCACATTTTAGGAAGTAGCAGCAATAGCTGACACCATTGCAACAAAAAGCACAAAATGGCTACCTGTTTAGTTGTCTGCTCACAATCAGTGTTGTTCTTTGTTAATAAAGGCAACTTGATCAGAAGTTCTTCACTAGACCACTTTGTGAATATACTGCAAGGCCTGCAAAGAGATATACATGCATTTTAATGGAAGAGCTTGACCATATTTGTTCACAGCAGAGAGTATAGGATATTTTGAGGTTAAGGTGGAATATGTAATAAGTTTATTTTTTTTTGTATCACAAGATACATAAAAGACTAATGGAAATAAGTTACGCTTCGATGAATTAAACATTTGAAAGAAAATAGGAATTTGTGAAATATAATGTATATTCAAAAAATTAAGTCTATTCAATTTCTTGAACTTTAATTATAGTTCTATATTTAACATGCATTTTAAATCTGTGTTTTATATCATGCAACCTAGTCATATCTGTCATTCCTTATACATGCATGTGGATTGGTAAGGACGCATATAATTGAATAAGCAGCTTGAAAACATATTAATTTATTTAACCCTTTAAAAAATCTACCTAAACTAAGTTGAAAAAATATATATAAGATACCATTTGATCTACAGTATGTTGGCACAATGGTGGGAAAAAACATTTACAATATGGAGTTACTCTCATACAGTACATGTGAAAAAAAGCCCTATGGTCCTTGGAGAAATGTCCTTGTCAACAAACAAAATGTGTAGCTTGTGGTATATATTTCAGATGATTGACAGTGGTGACTGCAATTATGTGTGCCTTAGGGTGGCATTATAGTAAGTCTCTCTGTCGGTTGGTAAGGAGTGGTGCTTAATTTATGGTTAAAGTGCACACCACCCTAAACAACTCTAGACAATTCCTATTAGACCACTTTTAAAATTGATAATTTTATCCCTTTGAAATTATACTCTATTCTCCCAAATTGTCAAAACACAGGCTGCAAAACTTTCCAAAACCATACAGACAGATTTTTTTTAAATAAACGGCCCTAAAAGTAATTAAATGTGGAAGGAACAACTGATAAAAGATACTCAAACAACTATAATGAGTGCGTCAAAACAGTAAACTCTGAATTTACTCTCTGCTCACTCTATATTGACGCTGGTCTTTCACCGCAATCATTTTCAGTATCTTTACTTGGGATCTGCGGAGCACTCGGACAAAACGAGTATCGTAACGGAGATGGAGAATTTTCCCAATACAATTATGACAAGTATTTTTTGTAATTATCTGTGATCAGAAAACAATTATTTTCAGCTGCCAGCACGCATCTCTCTTTCACTCAAACAGTGTGAAGCGCTGTGTGCTCTTAATAACTACTGACTAGTTCTTCTGTCTGTAAAGAAACGGGCGGGGTATCAGTTGAGCCTGCTGCAACGATTGGATTAGAACCCAGACACATGCCCGGCTCTGTTTCACTCACTCACTGTCAGGCATCTCAGGGCACAGGTCTACCCTTCTCCAAACGTCGTGTATGAATCAGGATCCGTAGCCAGTTGTTTCCTGTCGACTTTGCTGAGGCCATATGGTTGTTTAGTAGGCCTACTTTGTCTGTCCTTATATTTATTCCATTGCTGACGACGTCTGTCATTAAATCGTGATCCAAACCCATGCTTGCTTGCTATTATTATTATTAATTGTAGCCCAGGCAAGTTTACTGAGCGACAGATCATTTGAAAATAAAATGACAAATGTAGATTTTTTATTTTTGTTACATTTGTATTAGGCTATGTATTAGCCTGTTTCGTTGATAATTTACTAGGACTAAGTAAGTAAATCATGTGAATTTTCGTCTGTCGGGGTCATTTAACAACGTGTGTATGAATGAAGGAGCAGAACATGCACTCTTGCGTGAACGCGCAGTAACACGCCCTTGAGGTATAGGCTTTACCAGCGTTTAAAGGCCACTTCCGGGTTTCCCGATCACAAGTAAATCCGATTACGAGTATAACGAGTCGGCACACCCATAATTTCTACCTCATGCTGCAGTGTATGTGTGCCCCCTAGTGGTCAAACAGATTCATACTCTGACATTGGCAAAATAAATAGATCACTTAACTACAAGTTGGAGATGCACTGTGGTGTATTAGTGGAGCTATTCACTATAGCAGTTAAACCCCAATACAGTGTAGGTAATCAGGGTGGAGAAGGGGAGGTTGGTGTGTGCATAAGGGAGGTTCACTGCCTCTTGCTCTCCAGGATGGCCCTCCAGTCGTCGGCCCAGGAGAGCAGGCGGCGGTGGCTGGAGGATATGTGTTTGTTGTGGCAGGCAGTGAACAGGATGTGCTCCCAGGTTGGGTTAGGCTCTACACCTGCAACAGAGGCACATCACAAAGGTCATATAATGCTTGTCAAATAATCTAACGGTCTGAAATACTAACTACCCCAAAAATGTTTTAATATACAGTGCATTCAGAAAGTATTCAGACCCCTTGACTTTTTCCAAATGTTGTTACGTTACAGCCTTATTCTAAAATGGATTAAATTGTTTTTTCCCCTCATTAATCTACACACAATACCCCATAATGACAAAGCAAAAACTGGTTTTTAGAAATTTTTGCAAATGTATTACAAATAAAAAATAAACTGAAAAATCACATTTACACAAGTATTCAGACCCTTTACTCAGTACTTTGTTGAAGCACCTTTGGCAGCGATTACAGCCGCGAGTCTTGGGTATGAAGCTTGGCACACCTGTATTTGGGAAGTTTCTCCCATTCTTCTCTGCAAATCCTCTCAAGCTCTGTCAGGTTGGATGGGGAGCGTCGCTGCACAGCTATTTTCAGGTATCTCCAGAGATGTTCGATCGAGTTCAAGTCCGGGCTCTGGCTGGGCCCCTCAAGGACATTCAGAGACTCGTCCCAAAGCCACTCCTGCATTGTATTGGCTGTGTGCTTAGGGTCATTGTCTTGTTGGAAGGTCAACCTTCGCCCCAGTCTGAGGTCCTGAGCACTCTGGAGAAGGTTTTCACCAAGGATCTCTCTGTACTTTGCTCCGTTCATCTTTGCCTCGATCCTGACTAGTCTCCCAGTCCCTGCCCCTGAAAAACATCCCCACAGCATGATGGTGCCAGGTTTCCTCTAGATGTGACGCTTGGCATTCAGGCCAAAGAGTTCAATCTTGGTTTCATCAGACCACAGAATCTTGTTTCTCATGGTCCGAGTGTCTTTAGGTGCCTTTTGGCAAACTCAAAGCGGCCTGTCATGTGCCTTTTACTGAGGAGTGGCTTCCGTCTGGTCACTCTACCATAAAGGCCTAAATGGTGGAGTGCTGCAGAGATGGTTGTTCTTCTGGATCTCCACAGAGGAACTCTAGAGCTCTGTCAGAGTGACCAACGGGTTCTTTGTCACCTCCCTGACCAAGGCCCTTCTCCCCCGATTGCTCAGTTTGGCTGGGCGGCCACCTCTAGGAAGAGTCTTGGTGGTTCCAAACGTCTTCCATTTAAGAATGATGGAGACCACTGTGTTCTTGGGGACCTTCAATGCTGCAGAAATGTTTTGGTACCCTTCCCCAGATCTGTGCCTCAACACAATCCTGTCTAGGAGCTCTACGGACAATTCCTTCGACCTCATGGCTTGGTTTTTGCTCAGACATGCACTGTCAACAGTTGGACCTTATATAGACAGGTGTGTGCCTTTCCAAATCATGTCCAATCAATTGAATTTACCACAGGTGGACTCCAATCAAGTTGTAGAAACAAACAGGATGCTCACTTTCGAGTCTCATAGCAAAGGGTCTGAATACTTATTTAAATAAGGTATTTCTGTTTTTTATTTTTATTAAATGTGCAAAAATTTAGAATAAGGCTGTAACGTAACAAAATGTGGAAAAAGTTAAGGGGTCTCAATACTTTCCGAAGTCACTGTACATGTATGACAAAGTAGCATGCATATGGCACCATCACATAAATGCACGCACATACATTTAGACACACACAGTTTTCCAGCTTTGCTACAAACACTCAACTCACCTAGGATGTCTGGCTTGTCATCTATGAGGATGTCCCCAGTCACCACGGTCTTGTCTCTGGTCAGGATGATCTGCTCCAAGAAGTCATAGCCCAGGTGCTTTTCTATATCCAGGCATACTGAACACGCATGCATGCACGCACCAGGGAGAGTGCAAAGACCAGACATATTGTTAGAAAGAGGTAACACAAGAACCACTCTGCCTCCAGCCTACAGGATTTCTGTCTTGACTCCGACCTTACCTTCTCATATGGGCAGTGTATACAGTGGGGGAAAAAAGTATTTAGTCAGCCACCAATTGTGCAAGTTCTCCCACTTAAAAAGATGAGAGAGGCCTGTAATTTTCATCATAGGTACACGTCAACTATGACAGACAAAATTATTTTAAAAAATCCAGAAAATCACATTGTAGGATTTTTTATGAATTTATTTGCAAATGATGGTGGAAAATAAGTATTTGGTCAATAACAAAAGTTTCTCAATACTTTGTTATATACCCTTTGTTGGCAATGACACAGGTCAAACGTTTTCTGTAAGTCTTCACAAGGTTTTCACACACTGTTGCTGGTATTTTGGCCCATTCCTCCATGCAGATCTCCTCTAGAGCAGTGATGTTTTGGGGCTGTCGCTGGGCAACACGGACTTTCAACTCCCTCCAAAGATTTTCTATGGGGTTGAGATCTGGAGACTGGCTAGGCCACTCCAGGACCTTGAAATGCTTCTTACGAAGCCACTCCTTCGTTGCCCGGGCGGTGTGTTTGGGATCATTGTCATGCTGAAAGACCCAGCCACGTTTCATCTTCAATGCCCTTGCTGATGGAAGGAGGTTTTCACTCAAAATCTAACGATACATGGCCCCATTCATTCTTTCCTTTACACGGATCAGTCGTCCTGGTCCCTTTGCAGAAAAACAGCCCCAAAGAATGATGTTTCCACCCCCATGCTTCACAGTAGGTATGGTGTTCTTTGGATGCAACTCAGCATTCTTTGTCCTCCAAACACGACGAGTTGAGTTTTTACCAAAAAGTTATATTTTGGTTTCATCTGACCATATGACATTCTCCCAATCCTCTTCTGGATCATCCAAATGCACTCTAGCAAACTTCAGATGGGCCTGGACATGTACTGGCTTAAGCAGGTGGACACGTCTGCACAGCAGGATTTGAGTCCCTGGCGGCGTAGTGTGTTACTGATGGTAGGCTTTGTTACTTTGGTCCCAGCTCTCTGCAGGTCATTCACTAGGTCCCCCCGTGTGGTTCTGGGATTTTTGCTCACCGTTCTTGTGATCATTTTGACCCCACGGGGTGAGATCTTGCGATCTCCCAGATCGAGGGAGATTATAAGTGGTCTTGTATGTCTTCCATTTCCTAATAATTGCTCCCACAGTTGATTTCTTCAAACCAAGCTGCTTACCTATTGCAGATTCAGTCTTCCCAGCCTGGTGCAGGTCTACAATTTTGTTTCTGGTGTCCTTTGACAGCTCTTTGGTCTTGGCCATAGTGGAGTTTGGAGTGTGACTGTTTGAGGTTGTGGACAAGTGTCTTTTATACTGATAACAAATTCAAACAGGTGCCCTTAATACAGGTAACGAGTGGAGGACAGAGGAGCCTCTTAAAGAAGAAGTTACAGGTCTGTGAGAGCCAGAAATCTTGCTTGTTTGTGGGTGACCAAATACTTATTTTCCACCATAATTTGCAAATAAATTCATAAAAAATCCTACAATGTGATTTTCTGGATTTTTTTTCTCAATTTGTCTGTCATAGTTGACGTGTACCTATGATGAAAATTACAGGCCTTTCTCATCTTTTTAAGTGGGAGAACTTGCACAATTGGTGGCTGACTAAATACTTTTTTTCCCCACTGTATAATGTTTTACAGGGCTGGTGCAAATAAAAACATCTGTGCTGGAAAACAGAGAAGAAAACAACTGGGTTAGTTTGTTTTCAATGTAAACTTTCAACAACATACAGTTTTTGAAAGGTGAGCAAAGAAGATGTCCTAACATGAGAATATTGGCTAATATTGGAACAGAGAGACCTGTGAATTTATTGTTGATTGAGGACAATTGCTCTTGAGGTTAACTGCTATATGGTTGTTCACATAAGTTAGGCCAAAATGAAACACTAACAAAGGGTATAAAGACATAGTGCCTACAGTATTTCTGGGAAAACTAAGCATGGTGACATTTTAGCAATGCAAACAACGCATAGCAAAGACATACAGCAGAGCACACTATGACATGACTTTCCCTTCCTCAGAGGGTTAAGTATGCTACTCTAGGGCCACCTGCCTGCTTTCTCCACCCTATTTGTTGAACATGAATATAGCCTAAGGGTGACTACTAAGTGGCAAACAGTCTCTAGGTGAGGATGCACTGTGGGTCAAAACATTTTAAAGCACTTTGGGAACATAAACAGCAATTCCTTCTCTTTGAACAGTTGACTTAAGTGTCTTTGAAATGAATGTGAATATGTTAAAGAACATATCATAAGCTATGGTACTGTTCAGAAATGGTTTGAATGAACATATATGGTTCAAACTTACTTCTCCATCTTAGCCATCTCCTTGACAGCCTGCACTCCTCCAGGAAGAAGCTCCAGCTCTATAAAGAAGTTATTTGACTTCCAAATGCTGATGGCCTTTTCCTACAGTAAATATAGCCTCTGTTTATCATACACAACCTTTTATAGATTGTGTGTGGTTTAATTTATAGCAGACACAGAGGACCTAGATGCATGGCATGACATTTTAGTCATTTAGCAGATACTCTTATCCAGAGCAACTTACAGTAGTGAGTGCATACATTTTCATACTTTCCCGTACTGATCCGCATGGGAAATGAACCCACAACCCTGTCGTTGCAAGCGCCATCCTCTACCAACTGAGCCACATTGGCATACTCTAATATTCCACCTGTCCAAAGTCTTCCTTTATGTTTGACATAATTAAACAATAAAAGGGTTATGGGTCAACACCCCTTTCGATTTGAACAAAACTTTCTATACATATTTACATTTACATTTACATCATTTATATTTGACCCTGGTAGAAGTGGTTAGAAAGTAACTTTTTGGACCAGAGTGCCAAAACATTTAGGAGATAGAGGGGCTCAAAGTTGACCCATTTTGCATACCCCACCCTGCCATGAGACATCCATGTCTTCATCACTGGAAAAGATACACAGTTTAGTTTGATATCATTTAAAGGCCCAGTGCAGTCAAAAATGTGATTTTCGTGTTTTATACAGTTGATGTCGGAAGTCGTTATGTTTGGAGGAAAAAGGGGGTCCCTTGCAAGCCGAAAAACACCATCCCAACCGTGAAGCACGGGGGTAGCAGCATCATGCCTTGGGGGTGCTTTGCTGCAGGAGGGACTGGTGCACTTCACAATTTACTATTATTCTGACATTTCACATTCTTAAAAGTGTTGATCCTAACTGACCTAAGACAGGGCATTTTTACTAGGATTAAATGTCAGGAATTGTGAAAAACTGAGTGTTTAAATGTATTTGGCTAAGGTGTATGTAAATTTCCGACATCAACTATATATACTTCCACACAATGAAGTTGGAATAACACTGTGAAACTGTGAAAATTATAATGCCGTTTTAGTGTAAGAGCTGTTTGAAAAGACTGCCTAAAATGTCAGCCCTGCCTGGTGATATAACCAAGCGGTAAATTGGTTAATAGACCAATAAGAAAGAGTTCCAAACCTCTCTGCCAATATCAGTTAGTTTTCAGTTTCCCTCTCCCAACTCAGACCACTCCCAGACAGTCCTAGCGAAATTCTTGCTTGAAAGATTGCTCTTTGCAAAGAATCTATTGTTGTTTCTTTTTGACAATTTTAATTGAAAACAATCACAGTAAGGTACTTAATTGTTACCCAGAAATGATTTGATATTGAGATAAAAACGGCTTCATTGGACTATGGGGTATTTATTTTTATTACGTCTTAATTTTACCTTTAACATAAATTATTTATTTTTCATATATGTTGTAGCTTAGACAATATTTTACATCATCTGAGGTGTTTGTGTTGTGCCTGCCATCGGTTGAGACACAGTATGCTCTTGAATACAGGGTCGGTGTCAGGTTTTGGCTGCTAAATTTACTACAATTGTAATTTCAATTTACAAATGGTAGCACAAAGATGGTTGGAGGTCCACACATCAGAGAATGTTAATTTAAATGGGAATATCAGTTGTTTTAAATTATACTGTCAATCTTCCATAGGAAACCTTGCATAATGGAATCATAATAATGAACACCAACAGCTGCATCCAATTTCCTTTGATCATCCTTGAGATGTCACTACAACTAGAGTTGTTACGGTGATTAGGCTTCTCCAAGCTCTGATGCTGCTGATGGTCATTAGTAGCCTACCAAACTTGCTAACTGCTTGGTGCTCAGCACTCTATTGTCCCTCTAATGACTCTGACATCATTGCAAATGTAATCGAAAGTCTAATCAAACACTTAAATAAACAGCGCATTCTTTTTTTTGTGACTTTTTCAAATCATAGTCGCACACCTCATGTAGTCTAACCCATAGGCCTAAATGTTTTGATAAGGTTTGTATCACAACTAAAGTGGCCAAATAACTTCTTAAAATGAAGCACATTCATCCACTTTACAACAGGTGTTGAGCCTAACTGGCTTAGAGTTGAAGTCGGAGGTTTACATACACCTTAGCCAAATACATTTAAACTCAGTTTTTCACAATAACTGTCATTTAATCCTAGTAAAAAATTCCCTGTCTTAGGTCAGTTAGGATCAAAACTTTATTTTAAGAATGTGAAATGTCAGAATAATAGTAGAGAGAATTATTTATTTAAGCTTTTATTTCTTTCATCACATTCCCAGTGGGTCAGAAGTTTACATACACTCAATTAGTATTTGGTAGCATTGCCTTTAAATTGTTTAACTTGGGTCAAACTTTGGGTAGCCTTCCACAAGCTTGACACAATAAGTTGGGTGAATTTTGGCCAATTCCTCCTGACAGAGCTGGTGTAACTGAGTCAGGTTTGTAGGCCTCCTTGCTCGCACACGCTTTATCACTTCTGCCCACACATTTTCTATAGGATTGAGGTCAGGGCTTTGTAATGGCCACCAATACCTTGACTTTGTTGTCCTAAAGCCATTTTGCCACAACTTTGGAAGTATGCTTGGGGTCATTCTCCATTTGGAAGAATCATTTGCGACCAAGCTTTAACTTCCTGACTGATGTCTTGAGATGTTGCTTCAATATATCCACATCATTTTCCTTCCTCATGATGGCATCTATTTTGTGAAGTGCACCAGTCCCTCCTGCAGCAAAGCACCCCCAAGGCATGATGCTGCTACCCCCGTGCTTCACGGTTGGGATGGTGTTCTTCGTCTTGCAAGCAGCCCCCTTTTTCCTCCAAACATAACGATGGTCATTATGGCCAAACAGTTCTATTTTTGTTTCATCAGACCAGAGGACATTTCTCCAAAAAGTATGATCTTTGTCCCCATGTGCAGTTGCAAACCGTACTCTGGCTTTTTTATGGCGGTTTTGGAGCAGTGGCTTCTTCCTTGCTGAACGCCTTTCAGGTTATGTCGATATAGGACTCGTTTTACTGTGGATATAGATACTTTTGTACCTGTTTCCTCCAGCATCTTCACAAGGTCCTTTGCTGTTGTTCTGGGATTGATTAGCACTTTTCGCACCAAAGTACGTTCATCTCTAGGAGACAGAACACATCTCCTTCCTGAGCGGTGTGATGAGGTGGTGATGAAGGAGTCAGGCGCAGGAGGGTAAATCACAGAATAACAGGCTTTAAACCGCAAAATACAGGTTTACGCAGAAATGCGTCAAACACACTCCAGGGCACAAAACAGGCGCACTGGAAAATACAAGGCATACGGGAAAAATACTCCTGTCGATACACAATACACGAGCTCCACCGAGCTACACTAACCTCCACAAATAAACAATCACCCACAAGGACAAGGGGGCAGAGGGAACACTTATACACAGACTAATTAGGGGAATAGAACCAGGTGTGTGTGATTGACAAGACAATTGTGATGATGATTGGGACGGCGACGACAAACGCTGAAGCCTGCCCGAACAAGGAGGAGAGGCAGCCTCGGCGGAAGTCGTGACAAGCGGTATGATGGCTGCATGGTCCCATGGTGTTTATACTTGCATACTATTGTTTGTACAGATAAACGTGGTATCTTCAGGCGTTTGGAAATTGCTCCCAAGGATGAACCAGACTTGTGGAGGTCTACAATTTTCTTTCTGAGGTCTTGGCTGATTTCTTTTGATTTTCCCATGATGTCAAGCAACGAGGCACTGAGTTTAAAGGTAGGCCTTGAAATATATCCACAGGTACACCTCCAATTTACTCAAATGATGTCAATTAGCCTATCAGAAGCTTCTAAAGCCATGACATCATTTTCTGGAATTTTCCAACCTGTTTAAAGGCACAGTCAACTTAGTGTATGTAAACTTCTGACCCACTGGAATTGTGATACAGTGAATTATAAGTGAAATAATCTGTATGTAAACAATTGTTGGAAAAATTACTTGTGTCATGCACAAAGTAGATGTCCTAACCGACTTGCCAAAACTATAGTTTGTTAACAAGAAATGTGTGGAGTGGTTGAAAAAAGAGTTTTAATGACCCCAACCTAAGTGTATGTAAACTTCCGACTTCAACTGTACATAACCAGCGCGTGAGTTTCAAGTTTGGGGAAGATAACATTCACCAGAAAAATTAACCTTTATAATAAAAGCATTACATGCATAATCACATTTGTGGTCACTTTTGAGAATGGTGTTTTCCTGCTAATGGAACATTCGCACTTATAGTGCCGTGTGCGCATTGCTGCCTAATAGTGTATCAACATTTTAAGCTAAACGTTCTCATCTGTTGCATCAGGCTGTTTGCTTAAAACAGGTTTTTTGATGCTAGTGGTTGTATTCATTTGGGATCTATTGCATCCCACAAGTGTCCGAGACCATGTTTGGAATATTTATCGCACAGAATAGAATAGGTCAACTTTTGTACTATGGGGGATAGTAGATTGACATAGGCTAGTGCTTTTGCTGTTCATTAGGCCTACTCATCTTTGTTGGCTGACGAAAAGTAAATGTGGACAGTTCTTCCAATATCTTCAATATGCGCCTCGGAATTGGATAAGGACACACGCAGTTGCGTCCCTGATGTGTCTGTCTTCACTTGTAGGCTGTGAACTAGTGTAGCCCACAGCCATATGTCATAGCCAGATCAGGATCTAACATAAGGACAACTCAGAGTATGCTATTCTGTTCTTCTGAAATAGGCTACATTTTCTTCATATCATGTTTCTTTAGACCTGTCTAAAATAAATAATGGATTTATTGTCATGGTGTAGGCTATATTACATGGATTTATTAGACTAAAATGTAGATGTTCCAAAGGTCTGCATCAGTGGCTTGTAGGCTATGCGTGGAAGCCAGGAGATGCTATTTCCTTCTTAATGCGTTTGAGGCAATCAGTTGTGTTGTGACAAGGTAGGGGGGGTATACAGAAGATAGCCCTATTTGGTAAAAGACCAAGTTCATATTATGGCAAGAACAGCTCAAATAAGCAAAGAGAAACGACAGTTCATCATTATTTTAAGACATGAAGGTCAGTCAATCCGGAAAATTGAAGGTTTCTGCAAGTGCAGTCGCAAAAACCATCAAGCGCTATGATGAAACTGGCTCTCATGAGGACCGCCACAGGAAAGGAAGACCCAGAGTTACCTCTGCTGCAGAGGATAAGTTCATTGGAGTTACCAGCCTCAGAAATTGCAGCCCAAATAAATGATTCACATAGTTCAAGTAACAGACACATCTCAATATCAACTGTTCAGAGGGGACTGTGTGAATCAGGCCTTCATGGTCGAATTGCTGCAAAGAAACCACTACTAAAGGACACCAATAAGATGAAGAGACCTGCTTGGGCCAAGAAACACGAGCAATGGACATTAGACAGGTGGAAATGTGTCCTTTGGTCTGGAGTCCAAATTTGAGATTTTTGGTTCAAACCACCGTGTCTTTGTGAGACGCGGTGTGGGTTAACGGATGATCTCCGCATGTGTAGTTCCCACCTTAAAGCATGGAGGAGGAGGTGTTATGGTGTGGGGGTGCTTTGCTGGTGACACTGTCTGTGATTTATTTAGAATTCAAGGCACACTTAACCAGCATGGCTACCACAGCATTATGCAGCGATACGCCATCCCACCTGGTTTGGGCTTAGTGGGACAATAATTTGTTTTTCCACAGGACAATCACCCAACACACATCCAGGCTGTGTAAGGGCTATTTTGCCAAGAAGAAGAGTGATGGAGTGCTTCATCAGATGACCTGGCCTCCACAATCCCTCGACCTCAACCCAATTGAGATAGTTTGTAATGAGTCGGACGGCAGAGTGAAGGAAAAGCAGCCAACAAGTGCCCAGCATATGTGGGAACTCCTTCAAGACTGTTGGAAAAGCATTCCAGGTGAGGCTGGTTGAGAGAATGCCAAGAGTGTGCAAAGCTGTCATCAAGGCAAAGGGTGGCTATTTGAAGAATCTCAAATATAAAATATATTTTGATTTGTTTAACACTTTTTTGGTTACTACATGATTCCATATGGTATTTCATAGTTTCGATTTCTTTACTATTATTCTACAATGTACAAAATAGTACAAATTAAGAAAAACCCTTGAATGAGTAGTTGTGTCCAAACTTTTGACTTGTACTGTATATCTGGGGAAGAGTATAAAATAATTTCTAGAGTGCTGAAAGTTCCTAAGAGCGCAGTGGTCTCCATCATTGGGAAATCTAAAAAATATGGAACTACTCAGACTCTGCCTTGAGCTGGCCATCCGACCAAACTGAGCATCCGGTCAAGAAGGACCTTGGTCAGGGAGGTGACCAAGAACCCAGTGGTCACTCTGACAGAACTACAGAGTTCCTTGGCTGAGATGGGAGAATGTGCCAGAAGGACAACAGTCTCTACTGCACTTCACCAATCTGGGCTTTATGGGAGAGTGGCCAGACGGAAGACACTCCTGAGAAAAAGGCACATGACAGCACACCTGGAGTTTACAAAAAGGCACGTGAAAGACTGAGAGCATAAGGCAAAATATTCTGTTATCTGATGAGACAAAAATTGAATGCATAGCGCTATGTCCCGTGTAGCTCAGTTGGTAGAGCATGGCGTTTGCAACGCCAGGGTTGTGGGTTCGATTCCCACGGGGCGCCAGTATGAAAATGTATGCACTAAGTATAGTCTGGATAAGAGCATCTGATAAATGACTAAAAATCTAAAATAAATGTCTGGAGAATACCAGGCACAGCTCATCACCCGTCTAACACCACCCCTACCATGAAGCATGGTGGTGGCAGCATCATGCTATGGGGATGCTTTTCAGCGGCAGGGACTGGGAGACTGGTAAGGATAGAGGGAACAATGAATGGAGCCAAATACAGGCAAATCCTTGATGAGAACCAGCTTCAGAGTACAAATTATCTTAGACTGGGGTGAAGATTTACGTTCCAACAGGACAAAGACCCAAGCATACAGCCAAAGCAACGCTGGAATGGCTTCAGAACAAGAATGTGAAAGTCCTTGAGTGGGCCAGCCAAAGCCCAGACTTGAGTCCCATTGAAAATCTGTGGAAAGACTTGAAGATTACTGTTCACCGCCACTCCCCATCTAACTTAACAGACCTTGAGAAAATCTGCAAGGAAGAACTGGAGAAAATCCCCAAAACACTATGTGCAAACCTGATAGACATACCCAAGACAACTCAAAGCTGTAATCTCCTCCAAAGGTGCTTCTACAAAGTATTGACTCAGGAGAATGAATACTTATGTAAATTACTTTTCTGTGTCATTTTGAATAAATTTGCTGTAATTTCTTGTGGATTAAATGTTTTCACTTTGTCATTGTGGGATATTGTGTGTAGATGGGTGAGAAAATAATATTTAATCCATTTTGAATTCAGGCTGTAACACAACAAAATGTGGAATAAGTGAAGGTGCATGAATATTTTTTGAAGACACCGTACATTTTTTGGCAGTTTGGTCCTAAAAGTCACTTTCTCACCACTTCTACCATGGGTAAATATGTATGGAAAGTTTAGTTCAAATCATAAGGGGTGCGGTCAAAAAGTGATTAAAATCAATTGGAATGACCCTTATGGGAGACATCATTATCCAGTGAATGCTTGCTATGACTAGGCCACCATGTGAGTATGGTTTGTTAGAAATATATCTGTTTGTGACTGTGGCATTTACAGAATGAAATGCACTGACAGCTGCTGCTCTTGCAACCTTTTGGACTTCTGATTCAAAGAAATTAGACATAACACAATACAATTAACTGTATGGATTTTTCCTGTTTTCTCAGACATAATGGACAGTTCAGAACTACTTACACACAGATCACTCCTCAAGTTCCCATACTGAGATAACACCCAGAATCCTTGTCTGTCTTCCAGGGTGATGTACGGTTCATTGGGGTACCTGGCCCGGTATTCTTTTCAGGAATCCCCATTCGAAGTCTGCAATGACCCCGTCCATGTTCACCAGAACCCGAAGTTTCTTACCAGAGGAAGAAGACATCTTCGCGGAAATACACTTGAACTGGTCATTAAGAAAAGTTATCTCTCTGCCAAATAGGCGTAAAATTATCCTAGGCAGTAATTACATTATTTACTTGCCTCGCTAATTTCTGTCTGTGATCGAACAATGGCTTCACGAGGCTTGAGATGTGTTCAAAAGTCCAGAACTTCAATGTGTTATTCCTAATAGGGTTCCATTTAAATAAATAAAAATGTGGGACATTGATTCGTTGCTAATGCAATTAACTAATTGACACTGTCAAATATACATTTTCTGGTTTTAACCTTTATTGCAATTGGTCTGACTTTGGCATTTGTGCTGCATAGCATTAGCCAGCAAGCTAGCTAAAGTAAGCACTATGTTGATTATGCTTTTCAGCACTGTATTTGGACTTGTTTACGACTATCAGTATGGACTGGTTGTACAGCTATTAGTGTCGCAACCCTTGTCAGCCGCACAGCAGCTGTACAATTTGGTACAAATGCTCCCAGAAGTGTCACCTACTGTACAAAATCCCCCAAAATGTGAAGCCTGCCTACATCTTGCAGTCAAAGACAATGTTGTGAAACAAGATGTCGCACATGGCCTCAGTTTCTCTCTCAGTGGGGTTTAAAAATCCAGAGGCAAACTTGTACCATGGAGTCTGAAAGGGTAAACATCAACAACATTCAATATTAGCATATCAACATGAACATTTTACACCAAAAGAGCCTGACAGCATTCATGCAGTAGGATGAGCAAAAGAACAGTGAAGGGAGGGATCAGTCAGCTCTGGGGAACACTTATTCTCCGTACGTAGGGTTTTCAGCAGTTACATTCACCCAAGGTTGGCTCCATGTGAACTACAATCCGGACGCTGTGTTTTAACATTTAGAAACCTCAATAATCATTGCTTTCAAACCTGTTTTCAAAACACATGCTGATATGCCTATTTTCTTTCATATAAACAAGAAAATATACACTTACTGTAGCAGTTTGCACAGACAATTCAAGCTGTTTGTGCCTCCAGTTGAAGAACTACACTTCCTCCCCAGTTGTGTTTACTAGGCTGTGATTCTTCTTAAAGTGATAACACAGGGAGCCAAAGTCCCAATTACACAAATTATTGATAGCAAATAACAACAATCACAAGATGTGTTCAGGGGGGTTACGTTTCGAGAAAGGGTGGAAATAAATGGTAGCAATCAGCAATAACAAGGTTTCCGATAAATTAATATTTTGCGTTTAGCTAAACTGGGTGCCTATCCATTTAAGAGCCTGAAGTTCCAACCGTAAATCTCGTTGGATCCCGTCTGTTCTCTTACGATACTTTTCTCTCAGTGGCGGCTGTGTGGCCCCCTGTCTCAGCCCGGACGGAGTTGTTTCTGACATTTGAATGAAAAACAGTCTGAATTGCTACCACTTTGGACATATATAATAATGGCTTCAGCCTTGGAGCAGTTCGTGAACAATGTGCGGCAGCTCTCCGCTCAAGGTATGGACATTAAACATGTTTTAGTTCTCAGACGAGCTGGAACTATTAGCCAATGCTAAGCAATGCTTTGCTGATAGCATGCATAGCTAGCTAGCCAAACTGGATAGCTAGATCCTCCTTTTTGCTTTATCATGTAAACACAGCCCTAAATTGATTGTTTTGGGGAACGAGGCCTCAAAAAAGTAGTTCAGGAAGATGTATTTTTACCCCGTGACACTGAAGCGTACCAATAACAACACAGTAAACGAATACGTGTTTTAAAATAAAACTTTGTTTTTGTTCGAGAAAAACATTTCAGTGAAATGCTAACCGGTAGTTCCGCCCTAAGTAAGCGCGATTGGTTGCAGAGCGCCATTGTCAAATGTTATTGGTCGACAGTCCCATCTGTAACGCAATATGCGTTGCTTCCATAGCTAATGTACCCAGTGCAGGCCTTGACAGGACACTTGACCGGCCGATATATTTTACAGTAACTGCAAAGAATGTGAACTATGCAGCTGGACCGCGTTTCGTTATAAAAACATGCTCAATGTTCTTAGTGGCACCCAATATTCTATCTTTATTAAGATTACTTATTATCATTTACATATGCAGGTGTATTCTGTTGACATTCTGGTTAGTTTGTTGGTACAGAGTTTTTATAGCCTGTATTACAATATCGTTAGAAATAAGCATTATATGGGAGCAACATAATTAAATATTTAGTAATGACTGACATACGCTTTCATCTCTGGGTTAGATGGGTGTAAACTGGGTCAGTACATTAATGTTTGGGTTAGGGTATCCATCTAAAAATGGGAGAAGGTTATATTTAGGTTATAGACTCAACATACACAACACATGAACTGTTTCTTGATTTGGACTTCTCTTCAACCAGCTGTAATAGCTTGACTATCAAGTGCTGCATTGTTTGTTTACCAATTGTCTTTACTGTTGCTTCTCAGGTCAGATGACACAGCTGTGTGAACTGATCAACAAGAGCGGGGAGCTGTTGGCCAAGAACCTGTCCCATCTGGACACTGTACTGGGGGCCTTGGACATCCAGGAGCACTCCCTGGGCGTCCTGGCTGTGCTGTGAGTAGCCTGCTCTACTTTAATCCCGATCAATGATTATAAGTAAATCACTGATCTAGGCTATGACTTTGAGTCATTTTCTGCTTACTGTACCTGTGCATTCGGGGCTCATGACTCAGAAAAGTATATCACACAGATCAAGGTGTCTACCCCTTGTGTTCAAATTAAATGATGTGCCTGTCTACAATATGTTTTTATTTTCATGTACTGTGGCACATTTTTTCTTGTGTACTCACTGCCAGTTTTCACTTTCCCTTCATACAGGTTTGTGAAGTTCTCCATGCCAAACATCCCTGACTTTGAGACGCTCTTTTCCCAAGTCCAGCTCTTCATCAGTACCTGCAATGGGGAGCACATCCGATATGCAACAGACACGTGTAAGTCTAAACTTAACTGACTTTTGGTTTCTAGAAGCCTTTGATTCAACTGAGTTTCAGAGGAATGGTTAACTCCATAAGGTGTTAAGTTAACATCTTGTAATTATAAGAGTCATTTCTAAGGAATGTGGAGAATGTTCAAGGTCAAATGTTCAAGGCAAAATTAATTTAGCTTGATTGAACCTGTTAACCCTACTTACTACTTTTATTATTTTCTTCACAGTTGCCGGCCTCTGCCATCAGTTGACAAATGCCCTTGTAGAACGGAAACAGGTAAGACCGGCCATACGGGAGCAAAACATTTAAACCAGAAGAGCTAATGCATGAACTTACTTGTCTATTAACGCTCATTTACATGGTCTATTTAAAGAAATGACTCATGTTTTTACAAGATAAGACCCAGATTATGGTATTACTACTCTACATGATTTCAAAAACAAAAAGCCAACCCATGAGAATGCATATTGGATAGGGCTGGGAATTTCCAGGGACCTCACGATACAATATTATCACAATACTTAAGGTGCCGATGCAATATGTATTGCGATTCTTTATGTATTCTGATTCGATGTTCCAAACATATTGCTCACTTATATATCTGCTGCAGAGAGGCATGAGAATTTGTTTTGATCAATCATGGAAATAAAAGTGCTAAAAACATGTTGGCTCACTATTTAAAAAGAAAATGGCGAACAAGCCATAGGATGGAAAAATACCTTTGTTTTGGCATATGTACAGCCATATGTAGGGCCCTGTGTAGCTCAGTTGGTAGAGCATGGCGCTTGCAATGCCAGGGTTGTGGGTTCGATTCCACATACCAGTATTGGTTTTTACAATGATGTCAATAACGATATTTTGATATAGTGCTGAATTAAATGAAAGGTTCTACACATTGGACTACTTCACTGTCAGTTTTGTCCTAGTTTGTTTTGAGTATAAAACCCTCAGAATGGAGACAGGCCAAAAAAAACACACTTAAAATTAAGAATTTAACTGTACCCTGCAAATACATCTGCAACCCTGTGCACATGACTAATAAAATAATCCTTCTATCATTAAACATATTTAAAAACGTGTGTTATTCAGAAACATAAAATACTGCCATACTGTCAAAAATTAGAAATATAGTGATATGATATTTTGGTCATACTGCCCAGCCAAATGTGCTAGCTTAGCAGTATTAGCTTCCTTCCTCTCTGAGTACAACTCAGGGTAAACTGATCGTACCACGCCTCAAACCTGGGGCTCTCTACCTTGCCAATACACATGATTGCCCTGCTTGACAACATACTATCCAGTTGTGCCACTGAAAAGGAACATATGATGGCATTATTGGCGGCATTTCAAGCTAGCTGTGTGAGTGAGCTTACGTCACATTCTTATCTCTGTTACATATGGTTTAATGCATCTCTTTCTTTCACAGCCATTGAGGGGTGTCGGCATTCTAAAACAGGCAATAGACAAAATGCAAATCAACACAAACCAACTTACCTCAGTTCATGCAGACCTGTGTCAGGTGAGTAAACTGATTCATATCAACAGGATCTTTGACTTTATATGATTATTGAAATATATTGATGCTTGGCTGCGAGACTAAGAATGAATGACCCCTCAACAACTTTGTGTGTACATCCACAGCTGTGCTTGTTAGCAAAGTGCTTCAAGCCTGTCCTCCCGTTTCTTGAGCTTGATATGATGGACATCTGTAAGGAGAATGGCGCCTACGACGCAAAGCACTTTCTATGTTACTACTATTACGGAGGCATGATCTACACGGGTCTGAAGAACTTTGAAAGAGCACTGTATTTTTATGAACAGGTACTGGCTTATTTGAGAACCTACAAATGTGTGTGTTAAAGCTGTTTCGGATGTGACCTAGTGTTCCTGTTATCAAAAGTGAATTGATTTAGCATACTACTAGTAAAACATTTGCTCATTGTAATACCATTTTGAAATGACCTTTAAATTACTATTTTGATACTATGTATGCATACAGTAGTCAAGTACACTACACACTGAGTTGACATTTAATCTGTTAAGGCAATGACATATCAAATCAAATTTTATTTGTCACATGCACAGGATACAACGGGTGTAATCAGTACAGTGAAATGCTTACTTGCAGCTCTTTCCCAACAATGCAGTAGCTTGTTTTTTGTTTTTACGCTGCTGCTACTCGCTGTTTATTATCTATGCATAGTCACTTTACCCCTACCTACATGTACAAATTACATTTACATTTACGTCATTTAGCAGACGCTCTTATCCAGAGCGACTTACAGTTAGTGAGTGCATACAGATTTAATTTTTTTCATACTGGCCCCCCGCGGGAATCGAACCCACAACCCTGGCGTTGCAAACGCCATGCTCTACCAACATCCCTGCCGGCCATTCCCTCCCCTACCCTGGACGACGCTAGGCCAATTGTGCGCCGCCCCATGGGTCTCCCGGTCACGGCCGGCTACGACAGAGCCTGGATTCGAACCAGGATCTCTAGTGGCACAGCTAGCACTGCGATGCAGTGCCTTAGACCACTGCGCCACTCGGGGGAGTGGCGCAGGGGTCACTTTGAGGCATGGTACGATCAGACTAACCTGTATCCCCGCACATGACTCGGTACCGGTACCCCCTGTATATAGCCTCGTTATTGTTATTTTGTGTTACTTTTTATTTTATTTGTAACTTTCTTTTATTTAGTAAACTCTATTTCTTGAACTGCATTGTTGGTTAAGGGCTTGTAAGTAAGCATTTCATGGTAATGTCTCCACCTGTTGTATTCGGCGCATGTGACAAATAACATTTTATTTGTTTACATCTCTAGTTCCATTCTGTGATCTCTTCTCCCCCAGGCAATAACCACTCCAGCCATGGCTGTCAGTCACATCATGTTGGAGGCCTATAAGAAGTACATCCTGGTCTCTCTGATTCTCCATGGCAAAGTGCAGCAGCTCCCCAAGTACACGTCACAGATAGTTGGGAGGTTCATAAAGGTGAGAATGAAGACTCAAAAAGGGCCATATTTCACATCATTAAGGCTTTTACATGCTATTACATTTTTAATTGTCTGTTGTACTTCATACTATACATATTACATATATTCAACTGCTTTTTGTTTCTGCAGCCTCTCAGCAACGCGTACCATGAGCTTGCACAGGTGTACGCCACCAACAACCCAGCAGAACTGCGCTCCCAGGTGAATAAACACAGTGAGACCTTCACACGCGACAACAACACAGGGCTGGTCAAGCAATGCCTGTCCTCCCTCTACAAGAAGAACATCCAGAGGCTAACAAAGGTATACTTCCTTCCCCTTCAGATCATATCTTCTTCGCCTCAAATACGACCCCTCTCCTCACATATACCTCCTAATATGTCTATCAATAGTCCTCGCTCACCTCAAAAACCTTGTTTACCCCCAATACACCATTCTCATTCCTAATATATCTCCATCTGCACTTACCTCAACTATTTTCAAGATATACTTCCTGTCCTTCACCTCAAATCTACCTTCTTCGTCCCCATCTTCACCCTGTTACCAGGGTGTAAATATGTAAACAAAGTATTTATTTAAAGCAAATGGTCAGAAAAGCAATGTATCTGACCACCCTTCTTTCTTTGCAGACTTTCCTGACGCTGTCCTTGCAAGACATGGCAAGTCGAGTGCAGCTGTCAGGGCCCCAGGAGGCGGAGAAGTATGTCTTGCACATGGTAAGTCAATGCAACCGCAGGAGAATAGACACGCTTTATCTCAGTACTCTGAGAACACTCAATTTTGAATGTATGAAAGAAAATGTCCTTCACTTCAATTGAGACTAGATCTAACATTGATTCGTCCATTAATTACCTTTTCTGTTCCTTACAGATTGAAGATGGTGAGATATATGCCAGTATCAACCAAAAGGATGGCATGGTCTGTTTCCATGACAACCCAGAGAAATACAACAACCCCGCAATGCTTCACAAAATTGACCAAGAGGTAAGAGAATGTCAATATTGATTATCTATCCTTATATAGAAATTACTATTGAGGTGCAATGAAGTGTCATTATTTGCTTATCATTTGGTACTGTTTTAGTGAAGTAAATGGCTAGTTTTGTGTCCTTCACAGATGCTGAAGTGTATAGAGCTGGATGAGAAACTAAAGTCCATGGATCAAGAAATAACAGTAAACCCACAGTTTGTTCAGAAGGTAGGAAGCAACAATTACATTATTTAGGCTCCTCTAGACGTTTTCCAAGAGGACTATGTTTGCAATTCAGTTGGTTGAGTATTTGTTGATAGTTTTTATTTTATATGTATATATATTTCTTAGTTAGTATTGAATTGATTGCTAATGGTTTGTATCACACTGTATGTTTCAGAGTATGGGAACGCAGGAGGACGATGTCGGCAGCAAAACATCAAGTTACTCCTGAGGGGTATGGACAGGGGAGAACGCTGCCACCCTTCAGGTTCTTGTTGGATTACTTTTTTTTAAAGAGGAAAAACATTCTATTGAGTATGGACATTGGTCAAGGAAAATATAAATGTGTGGAATGATAATTTGGTTATTTCTTTCAGTGTCTTGAGGAAACCTTAACAAAAACATTTTTTGTCAGTGTTTTATTTATCAATGTTCAGATGGAAGAGCCACTGCTGCATTAACAACCATAATAATAAAAACTGGACTTATTTGTTCAAAAATAATCTGTTGCATGTTCATTTCTTTGGTATTTCCGTCTAGGCTAACATGCGAAATTTGAGGAAATCTTAAGTCTCCTGTTTTCAAGATCAGTCATTTCCCTTGACAAGCTAGCATTTTTTGGGGGGTAAAATCAAATGTAGATTTGACAACAAAAGCAAGGCTGTACTTCTGCCCTTGACCAAATGTACAGAGGAGAGTACAGCTTAAAAAAAATTGGTGCACTGTTTTTTTCCATCCCCTAGAGGTCTCTCATGTACTTTGTTGTACTGTAGTTTGCATTTACTGCAGGTGGGATGAGCACTGAGCTGAATAAATATTTATGTTATGTGGAAGGACTCAAGATTAGCGATTTTGAATCTGTTGGAATAGTAAATTGACACAATTTTGCATTAAATGGATCACATCACATTACTGTTTTGTCAGCATTGTTTACCCTAGTTTTCTGACATTGTGTGCTACTTATGGCTCAGGTATTTGTACAGTGTGTCGTTTGTCATATGTGAACCGAGAGATGTAGGATTTATTGTATAATTGCAAAGCCTCAACATAAAGATGGAACAGTATACATATTTTATCTGTTGCACAGAAACGTTACAGCCATAAATAAAAAGGTTGTCAGTAGTTAACACAGCCACCAAGTCATAATTATGGCTAAACCCTGCCCATTTCTACAATTTCTCTAATTAAAATCTGATTTTAAACCTAACCACACTGCTAACCTTATGCTTAACCTTAAATTAAGACCAAAAACCTTTTTTTTGTAGCCAATAGATGCGGTAAAGAGGTCAATGGAACGCAGACCGTGTGGGGAATAGGATGCCGGAATGGGCACATTTAACTAGTCTTATCTAACAAAGTGGATATTCGTCATCCGTAATCATTTACAGTGGGGAGAACAAGTATTTGATACACAGCCGATTTTGCAGGTTTTCCTACTTACAAAGCATGTAGAGGTCTGTAATTTTTATCATAGGTACACTTCAACTGTGAGAGACGGAATCTAAAACAAAAATCCAGAAAATCACATTGTATGATTTTTAAGTAATTAATTTGCATTTTATTGCATGACATAAGTATTTGATCACCTACCAACCAGTAAGAATTCCGGCTCTCACAGACCTGTTAGTTTTTCTTTAAGAAGCCCTCCTGTTCTCCACTCATTACCTGTATTAACTGCACCTGTTTAAACTCGTTACCTTTATAAAAGACACCTGTCCACACACTCAATCAAACAGACTCCAACCTCTCCACAATGGCCAAGACCAGAGAGCTGTGTAAGGACATCAGGGATTACATTGTAGACCTGCACAAGGCTGGGATGGGCTACAGGACAATAGGCAAGCAGCTTGGTGAGAAGGCAACAACTGTTGGAGCAATTATTAGAAAATGGAAGAAGTTCAAGATGATGGTCAATCACCCTCGGTCTGGGGCTCCATGCAAGATCTCACCTCGTGGGGCATCAATGATCATGAGGAAGGTGAGGGATCAGCCCAGAACTACACGGCAGGAAGTTTGCCAATGACCATCTGGATGATCCAGAGGAGGAATGGGAGAAGGTCATGTGGTCTGATGAGACAAAAATATAGCTTTTTGGTCTAAACTCCACTCACCGTGTTTGGAGGAAGAAGAAGGATGGGGACAACCCCAAGAACACCATTCCAACCGTGAAGCATGGCGGTGGAAACATCATTCTTTGGGGATGCTTTTCTGCAAAGGGGACAGGACGACTGCACCGTATTGAGGGAAGGATGGATGGGGCCATGTATCGCGAGATCTTGGCCAACAACCTCCTTCCCTCAGTAAGAGCATTGAAGATGGGTCATGGCTGGGTCTTCCAGCATGACAACGACCCGAAACACACAGCCAGGGCAACTAAGGAGTGGCTCCATAAGAAGCATCTCAAGGTCCTGGCGTGGCCTAGCCAGTCTCCAGACCTGAACCCAAAAGAAAATCTTTGGAGGGAGCTGATGGTCCATATTGCCCAGCGACAGCCCCGAAACCTGAAGGATCTGAAGAAGGTCTGTATGGAGGAGTGGGCCAAAATCCCTGCTGCAGTGTGTGCAAACCTGGTCAAGACCTACAGGAAACGTATGATCTCTGTAATTGCAAACAAAGGTTTCTGTACCAAATATTAAGTTCTGCTTTTCTGATGTATCAAATACTTATGTCATGCAATAAAATGCAAATTAATTACTTAAAAATCATACAATGTGATTTTCTGGATTTTTGTTTTAGATTCCGTCTCACAGTTGAAGTGTACCTATGATAAAAATTACAGACCTCTACATGCTTTGTAAGTAGGAAAAATTCAACATTCACCTTCTGCTACCATTTTTGTCAAGCCATCTACGCATAGTTTGATGCATACAGTGAGGGAAAAAAGTATTTGATCCCCTGCTGATTTTGTACGTTTGCCCACTGACAAAGAAATGATCAGTCTATAATTTTTATGGTAGGTTTATTTGAACAGTGAGAGACAGAATAACAACAAAATAATCCAGAAAAACGCATGTCAAAAATGTTATAAATTGATTTGCATTTTAATGAGGGAAATAAGTATTTGACCCCTCTGCAAAACATTACTTAGTACTTGGTGGCAAAACCCTTGTTGGCAATAACAGAGGTCAGACGTTTCTTGTAGTTGGCTACCAGGTTTGCACACATCTCAGGAGGGATTTTGTTCCACTCCTCTTTGCAGATTTTCTCCAAGTCATTAAGGTTTCGAGGCTGACGTTTGGCAACTCGAACCCTCAGCTCCCTCCACAGATTTTCTATGGGATTAAGGTCTGGAGACTGGCTAGGCCACTCCAGGACCTTAATGTGCTTCTTCTTGAGCCACTCCTTTGTTGACTTGGCTGTGTGTTTTGGGTCATTGTCATGCTGGAATACCCATCCACGACCCATTTTCAATGCCCTGGCTGAGGGAAGGAGGTTCTCACCGAAGACGCGGTTGTCCCCTTAGCAGAAAAACACCCCCAAAGCATACTGTTTCCACCTCCATGTTTGACGGTGGGGATGGTGTTCTTGGGGTCATAGGCAGCATTCCTCCTCCTCCAAACACGGCGAGTTGAGTTGATGCCAAAGAGCTCAATTTTGGTCTCCTCTGACCACAATACTTTCATCCAGTGCTCCTCTGAATCATTCAGATGTTAATTGGCAAACTTCAGATGGCCCTGTATATGTGCTTTCTTGAGCAGGGGGACCTTGCGGGCGCTGCAGGATTTCAGTCCTTCACAGCGTAGTGTGTTACCAATTGTTTTCTTGGTGACTATGGTCCCAGCTGCCTTGAGATCATTGACAAGATCCTGCTGTGTAGTTCTGGGCTGATTCCTCACCGTTCTCATGATCATTGCAACTCCACGAGGTGAGATCTTGCATGGAGCCCCAGGCCGAAGGAGATTGACAGTTCTTTTGGGTTTCTTCCATTTGCGAATAATCGCACCAACTGTTGTCACCTTCTCACCAAGCTGCTTGGCGATGGTCTTGTTGCCCATTCTAGCCTTGTGTAGGTCTACAATCTTGTCCCTGACATCCTTGGAGAGCTCTTTGGTCTTGGCCAAGAGAGTTTGGTCTTGGTGGAGAGTTTGGAATCTGATTGATTGCTTCTGTGGACAGGTGTCTTTTATACAGGTAACAAACTGAGATTAGGAGCACTCCCTTTAAGAGTGTGCTCCTAATCTCAGCTCGTTACCTGTATAAAAGACACCTGGGAGCCAGAAATCTTTCTGATTGAGAGGGGGTCAAATATTTATTTCCCTCATTAAAATGCAAATCAATTTATAACATTTTGACATGCATTTGTCTGGATTTCTTTGTTGTTATTCTGTCTCTCACTGTTCAAATAAACCTACCATAAAAATTATAGACTGATCATTTCTTTGTCAGTGGGCAAACATACAAAATCAGCAGGGGATCAAATACTTTTTTCCCTCACTGTACGTTAGATAAATCCAACGTATCCACCACACAGAACGCATTGCAACTGCCTCTGCAACGCAAAGCAAATGCAGCGTTCCATTGGAAATGAATGTACTTCTGGTGTACCAAAATGCAATAACGCCTCGATCACACCGGCCGTGTCATTGCATTTTGGTACACCAGAAGTACATTAATTTCCAATGGAACGCTACATTTGCCTTGCAGCATTACGTTGCAGAGGCAGTTGCAGTGCGTTCTGTGTGGTGCATATGTAGGATTTATCTAACATATGCGTCAAACTGTTTGCGTAGACTGCTTGGCAGAAATGGTAGCAGAAGGTGAATGTTGAACTGTTGTTGCACACATATCCAGATGATGCTGTGCAGTGGCGATTTTAGCATGTAAATCGTGGTGGGGCAAACTCCCCCATAAAAAAAAATACAAATAAAATGCATGCCAGCAAAGCCACTACACAACACTAAACAATACATGAACTGCAATATAACGGTGACAAACAGTGCCCACAAACTGTTAGGGCCTACATAAAGCTGTCCCAACACCTTACCACTGCTACACCTGGCTATCAACGGAACCTTGTCTGGAAGTGAAAGAGTTCATTCAGCCTCATTTACTGCCTTTTAAGAAACGTAGCTGATATGGCTGACTTGCTTAAACAAATGTGGTTTCTACTGACAATTGAGATGTACAAACTATGGTATAAGTGGACGACAAGCGGATAAGAGGCAATCCGTATTTTCGATTAGGACATTAATGAGCGAGCTAAGACGGACGTAGTCAATATAACTATTTGTT